GGTCACAGGCATTCAGACAGGAGTCAAGATAAAAGCCTCTGCTCACTGGAATAATAAGCAAGGTTTTTGTACTGAAGAGGCAAATACTGTTTAATTTGAACGATTACAATCATGGAGCTTGTTTTACTGATATTGTTGCGGAGATCTGAAGGTCCACATTCATATTTCGATAATTTGGCCTTTTATTGGACCCTGATATCAAATGTAAACTGAGGTATCTGAGTCTGGTGTTCTTATACAATGCAGGTTTTCCCTCTGTGCTCCCTGAAGAGAGGGAGGAACATTGTGAATCCTTGCTGTACACCATCAAGAGAATTCCTGCAAAGGCATTGATCCTCTGAACAATATAGCAACATGACAGATGTGATGATCATTGCAGAATTGCTTCTCCTCGGAGAGAGCAACAGAGAGTAAGACGGAGATGAAGGAGCAACAGCCAACCAGCTATGAAACAAGAGAGAAACAGCAAGGCAGAACAAGTGGAAACATTCAGAAGTTACAGACGTCCTTTCAGATTTTTCTGGACCGCTCATGTATTAGATGATTATGGTTTGGCCGGCGCTAAAACACAACTAGAGCCTGTGTGGGCTAGGCACTGGTATTGACTGCAATGAGTCACCTTACAGCGTAAACAGCAGATCTTAGAGGCGGCTAAGGGTTTTTTGAAAGTATTCCAAAATCTACATAGACATTCATCAAGGCTACAAACACGTACCAAACATAGTACACACAGTGTTTCCCACGTGGGATGCGGAGGCGCTGGGGGCATGACAACATATGGTGGTACCAACCATACCTCAATGAAATGTCCTGACCATTGATGGACAGGCGGACAGTCAATGGAAATGCAAAAACATAGTCGAACATGCCCTTTAAGGAAGGTTAAAGTGATACTTCTATTGGGAGTCGGACTCAGGCCTTGATCTTGCAACTAGAGTTGGAATTATTTAAATCAACTCCATCTTTTACGATGATTTTGTACAGAATGGTGATTCATTGATTGTACAATTGAGTTCTTCATCCACAAAGCGAAATAAACAAAAGTAGACTAACTATCAACCAACGCTCATGTATTGACACCAGCATTTTACAGGTAAGTGCTATGATAGAAATGTCAAAGAGTTCACCTTTATCCCTGTTAAACGGCCAACATCAAGTGAGAGTTTGACCGGCATAAGAACCATAAAGGAGCAGGTGCTGCTGATGGACACTTGTGCTGCTGTAAAAGGGGAAAGCCAGACTCTTTTCTGAAGAGATGCAGCACCTAAATCAAAAGCTCAGCTCACAGGGGAAAATCTTGTGCTTTTACTGCAGGTAAACACATTTTAGTTTAACATCAGATGAAGATAAGCATTGAGAGTTGTACTATGGGCTGCAGCCTCAACAAAGACAGGTATAACTCACTACCTTGTTTTTGACAGTGCACGCCACCGTGACTCCTGAATGCTGCAGTGCACACTCCTATAGCATCTCCAATTCAAACACATTTCATTCCACCATTAGCCCAGATGTGATCAGAGCTCTGATGAAAAAATGAATGATTGATAAGGTGCCAGATGTTTGGTGCCCTTTACCTCTGGATCTGTCAGAACACCGAGCACAGGTTGGCCTGTGAGAGGAGACAGTGGGCTGAAAGGAAAATGATCTCATAACGCATCAGATAACATGATGTGGCCCAGGTCCAACACGAAGCTAAGATGCTGGCCTTGCACCGGGAGGAGTCCAGAAGCTGCTGAGACCCCGATTAGACTAACACAAGCTCGGAGCTCAGCGCGTGCAAAGCTCAAGTATAGTGATGCGGACTGCGGTGCATTCATTAATAGAGGAGGCTATACACATCACCCTGCCTGCATAGGCTACACGGTGGAAAATGGACGCCTAGCATCAAGCGGCCGGTAAAGAGAAAACTCAGTGGACTGGGACACAAATCGCACATTATGATACTCATCCACAGAAATCACTCCTCTTTGTTCGAGCACATTTCAGCACATACAATAGATATTTTAGTCCCAACACCTGCGGTGCGGATGCAGGGGAAAGCTTCAAATGGGCTATTATAAGGGTTTCATTTGCATAATAGACGTTGCTGTCGCTAATTATAGGCCCACGGAAATAGGTGGGAAAATTATCATTCAGCATTTAATCAGTGAAGTGTCAGAAGTCTGGGAATTATTATCATTATTCTTTCCCTGTGAATACGGTTCTACACAGTCAGTAGTAGGCTAAGTTGCAGGCAACGTGAAACAAATCAATGTGGCGTGTAAATTACACTGAATGAACTGTGATCCATTAAGCTGCAAAGTAAAAACAACAGTGACACAGTGTAATTATAATCATTAAAAGAAGCTCGGAGAGGTCTTACCTGCAGGCTTCTTATTTCAGAGATTCGCAGCGCGTCGCACTCCCAGAGAGAACGAGATGGAGGGAAAAAATAAGATAGGGGGTGGACGGTGGATGGGCTGAATATCGGGTCTATCGAGGCAAAAAATAAATAAATAGCAAAGGGGGGATGATTAGAGTTGATGAAAATAAGAAGCACGCGAGGGACTGGATTCTCAATTCCGGATTAAATCTTTAAATCAGCCAGTGATGGAAAAGGGTTGAACATGCATTAAAAAAAGGCTAATACAAAACACGTCACTGAACACGGATTTGTCTACAGTGGATGTGGCCGCTGCTTGTGTGTACTGGGGGAGAATGCGTCTCCCCCCACCCTCCGGTTGGATGCTCGCTCCTGCCTGTCTGCTCCTCTATGTATTTCTCCCACTCTGAGCGCGACGCAAGCAACTTGTCGCATCCCTCCAAAACTCCTCAATGATGGAAATGATGCCGGGTAATGTCAGAATCGACACGAGATGAAATCTACTACAGTATGTTTCGTTACAACATCATGGCAAAGGTTCACCCCCCCATCCCC